ATACCCTTGATAGAAAAATAAAATAAGCTTCCAGACCTTCTCTTCTCAACTCCAACCACCCCGGCCTTCTCCTTTTCTTCCCTTTTCTATCCTTCCTCCTTCCACTCACGCCAGCCACACCCAAGCCAACTGCAGCTGTCCCAATCTTCCCCTTCCCAGTCAAGCTCCTGCAAGCACTCTCAGGCAGTCCCCGCTACATCATCAACATACCTTGCCCAAATTCTCTAGATTAATTTTCCTCTATGACATCACAAAGTCATTGGAAGGCAGAAAACTGGTCAGGGAAGCAATTGGGCCATGAGATAACAAAGGAATGAAAGTATTGTTTAAGGATGATACAGAGATTGCAGAAAAAATGAAAAAAATCCATATGTCTTTATTAAAAGATAACTGTGTCTGTATTGACTTTTCCAGGGAACATATTGGAGCAACTAAAACTAATAGTGGTAACAAGAAAACTCAGTGTGAGTTAGTGAAATAGATGTTAAACTAGGATCAGGAACACTGTTTAATTGTAGCCTTAACCATGGAAGCTCACCGGGTCTCTCAGCACACTGTATCTCAATGGATCTCTCAGCGCACTGTATCTCAAAGAACAGTTGGGAAGCTCCTGAAGGGAAAGTGGGATAAGATATAATCTTATCAATATTTTTTGCTTTTTAGGAAATAATCTGAGCTTAGATAATAAATTGAGTGAATTTGCAGGTAATATGAAATGAGATTGTAAAACTTCAGAAGGATATTTATAAACTGAATGAATGCTTATCCATATGGCAAATGTGATTCAGTTTAAACAAGTGTAAAACTCATGCACATCAGGACAACCCCCCTTCCAATTTTACATATACTCTGATGAGATTTAACATGTTTGTAACTGATTGGGAGAGAAAATCTTGGTGTTATAATTGATGATTTATTGATGATTTGATCAGATGTCATAAAAAGACAATTCCATACTAGGAAGAAAAAGGACTGAAAATAAATTGATCAACATGGCAAATCCCGTATATACATATGTCTATGGGTACATTTGCCCATGAAATACTGGATACACGTCTGATGACCACAATAGAAAAAAGCAAAAAAGTGCAAGAAGGCAAATAAAATAATAATTATTATTCCTTCTAAGTGAGAAAAAGCTGATATGGAATTTTTAACTATGATCAACTATGGTATATGATCAAGGTTTATAAAACATGTATACATGGAAAATATGGATGGTTAATCCAGGGGAGATTATTAAAGTTTAGAATATACAAAACATACAAAATAAATTTCTTTTTATATATTGTATAATAAATGAGGTTAATAGCTTTAGATGGGGAGCGACAGCAAACAGTTCTACTGAGGGCATTTCATCTTGAAATGTAATGTTATTGCCAGTTTAGAGAAGGATGCCTTCAAGTACTAGCTGCAAGTACAGGTTATTTAATACCTTTGTCTCTAGTGGCACATGGCACTGAAAACAAGGGCCTCAAATATTGGTCTATTAATATCTCTTCAAATATACAAAATATGTAACATATATCTACATAGTTTTTTCTGTCTTTATAGATGTCTCAAAGTTCATTGCAACATGAAGTAAAAAAGAAAAAGAGACGTGCTCCTCTTCCACCAGCTTCTATAATGCCAAACAGATTTGAAGAAATGGAAAATAAAAGACAAAGTACAATTGGTAAGGGTGGATTAGTTTTGACACGAGTGCATGCAATCTTTTCTGCTTTGCAGGTTGTTTGATGCATCAAACAAATATATCCCAGTTTACAAAATATTACTATTAACATAACAAAATGAAAGTCTGGAAACAATGAAGTATTTGATCTTTTTTTAAATTATTTTTTTAGTAGTAATGTTATTAAAATTACAATTAATAAGATAAAAATTAATACAAAAAAGAAAAACAAGAATATATAAGAATATATAGTAAAAATAACAAATGTAAAAATAACAAATGAATTCAAACACCAAAATAAGGTTATAAATAAAACTGTTTAATATAAAAGAGTACTTAGCTTTCGTCGGCCAAACTGCCGACATCATTAGAGTATAAAAACAAGGATTTGGGAGTTCACTTATATCACTAGCTGCCTCTGCGCCCTGCTCCTTGATCGTGTCATTGGTCCACTCATTATCACTGATCGTGTTGTCAATGTGTTGGCAGCTTTCGAGGCTGCTCTCCCACCCCCAGTCGTTGTTATTCCCCTGGTGCACATACAAGAGTCCAGGGTTGGCTGTCAGGTCGCTCTCGCCCATCCTTCCCCCCCACATTTGTCATCGGGCACGCCTGTGCCCCCGTCATGGAATTGTTGACGGTACGCGTCTCCAGCGCCATTCTCCCGCTCGCCAGTCCTATTGCTGCCCTCGCGCATGTGTGGACACCCGGGGATTGATTGTACAGCTGTTCTCACCTGTCACTCCCCTCCCTTCTTGTTATCAATCGAGCCTGAGCATCCGCCAAGGAGTTGCCTATCGAACGCACTCCCGAAGCTTCCCCCCAACTCCTTGGCGGACGCTCAGGCTTGATCAATAACAAGAAGGGAGGGGAGCGACAGGCGAGAACAGCTGGACAATCAATCCCCGGGCATCCGCACATGTGCGAGGGCAGCAATAGAACTGGCGAGCAGGAGAACGGCGCCGGAGACGCGCACCGTCAACAATTCCATGACGGGGGCACAGGCGTGCCCGGTGACAAATGGGGGGGGGAAGGATGGGCGAGAGTGACCTGACAGCCAACCCCTGGACTCTTGTATGTGCACCAGGGGAATAACAACAACTGGGGGTAGGAGAGCAGCCTCAGAAGCTGCCAACACATTGACAAGTGCGGGCCCTTTAAGAACAACACAATCGGTGATAATGAGTGGACCAATGACACAATCAAGGAGAAGGGCGCAGAGGCAGCCAGTGATATAAGTGAACTCCCAAATCCTTGTTTTTATACTCTGACAATGTCGGCAGTTTGGCCGACAAAAGCTAAGTACTCTTGTATATTAAACAGTTTTGTTTATAACCTTATCCTGGTGTTTGAATTCATTTGTTTTTTTTACATTTGTTATTTTTACTGTATGGCTATACCCAGGATTCGCATTTTTAATATATAATATATATATCATCACAAGTATAAACAATTTTAGTAATTTACCACCTTCCCTTAAAATATAACCAGTGATCACTTTTCATAACCCATTTCTTACATATAAAAAAAATCTTTCAAGCATTCACTCCTGATCAGCAAAAGTCCACCAAGGGTTACCAGAGATAACAATATATCTATTTGAATAGATACTGATCAGATGGACCAGCTTTTACTTTTAACAATCTTGATCTTTAGTGCATTCAAATAATGTCCTAGAACTTGATTTTTAATTTTTTTCCTCTGTCCCTCCTCACAAAATTCTTCTTTTTTTGCAAATCCATAATGCATAAACCCTTAATATGTGCAAATTTTTATGATGTATGTTAATATTTAAGTTGCCTTAAGTTGCCTGATTTTAACATTTTGTGTTTTTTTCTCATGCACCAAAACATGAGAGACAAACAAACAAAATTCTATACATCTGTGCAGCTACCTGAACTCTCATTATTAGGCAGTTTGTACAACTGGTAGAAAAAAATAACATATAAATAATTCTGGCACAAATGTTGCATTTTGCTAAAAATTTAACAAGCTTAATGAAGCTGAAATCTTTCTTATGATTATTTAGATTTATGTTTGATAAACCTGCAATCTTTTTCATGGGTTTTTAAATCTGAGATATGATTTAATATGTGCTATCCATTTTATGTAAATTTCCATATAAATTTTTGTCCATGATGTTCATGATGTCCTCAACCTGGTCCAGTCCAGTAGCATACCTGTTGCTACTGTAATTGCTGCAGGTTATCCTCTTCTGTCTTCTTCCACCTTTCCCAGCATTACAGATTTATCAAAGATCTTTACCTAATGTATGTGAAGTAGGATAATTTGAGCTTGCACATTAATCTGTATCTTGAATGATTGATTTGTGGATTTTATTGATTACCCATGGTGTTTTTATGAGTCTTCCCCAGGACTAGAGTTCAAAAGCATCAATGTTATATCTAATTTGCTTCCTCAGAATCCCATCTTTTGCTTCCATAGAATGTCACAGGGAAAACTATTGCATGCAAAATTCTGATCTTTGTAGATATTGTATAGACACACTGCGTATCTTAATATTATTATATTTATTATTATAAATCCTTACACATTGTTTTTTGATAAAGATTTTAAGGATCAGTCATGAATTTAAGGCCTTTTGTGATACCTTCAATGTTATATTAGGATCCTATAAGTTGGAATTCAAGCCCAGATATGGGACAGAGACAACTTTAGTTCTTTTGCTTGATGACCTGCCCTGGTTTTCAGTCTTTCAGCAGTTTTCATTATCATCAATCATGGTATCTTTTTGTACCGGTTGCAGGAATTGAAGGCCCTGTTCAGCAGTGGTTCCACTCTTTCCTCAGTGGTCAGTTCAGTAGGTATTAGTCAAAGGATAGATTCCCACCTGGGGTATCCCAGGAATCAGCGCTTCCCTCACACTTCATGTACATGAAGCCATTGGGGGAGGTAATTCAGCACTTTGGAGTCTGATATAAATATGCTGATGATACACCCAATCATATTTTGCAACTCCAAACTGGGCCAGAGGTACCAACAAAGTCTTGTCTCTATGTTTGGAGGCTATGTGAGCCTGGATGGGAGAGAATAGGTTTAAACCAAACCTAGTAAGCTGATGCTATTGTTTGTAAAATAGCAGTACCCTAAGCCAACTGCTTGTATAAGAATGTAGAGCCTGTAGAGCCCACCCCACTTTACATCTTAAGAAGACAGAACTCTTAGAATATTTCTTCCAACAGGCATCTTTATTAAGAGAAGATGGTTGCAGGCGTTCTAGACAGGATCTGAGGGGCCAATCCCTACCATTCAAGGTTTTAAGTCTTCCCAAGCAGCCCCCACCCCACTGTCTTTCCAGTGACAATCCCAGGCGTTACATTTCCACCCCCTTTTCCTCACGGCTGGCAGAAGGGAGACTTCAGAGAGTAATAGATGAAAGCTGATGGCCATATTGTTATGGTCAGTCCTCTTGGTGAGATCCACATTCAGTCCCTTTGAAATTTTAATAAAGGAAGTAAGAGCCGTAAAACCCCTTTGCTCATCCCCCTTCCCCTTCATAGTATGACAGAATCCAGAGAGGGCAGAAATGGGGTTTTCCATAGTCGATAACTAGAAATGAAATATAATTGGATTCTGACAGAGCCCTTGGAAGAGCAGGACTGCTTCAGATCCTCCTGGACTTGTGCCTCTTGCTAGATTAGCATATAAAGCCATGGCTGGAAGGTGGTGAGAAGACCTCACTGCAGTGGTTCACCCCTTCATCATCACTCATTTAAACTACTGCAGTATGACTTCTGGTGGTGACATCAGGGCGGTGTGGAGACAAGAGGACAGTCTCTGTCCCTTAACTCCAATCTTTCTACGATTGGACACCCTTCGGGGATGCAGAAAAGTCTGGAGGACTACGTGTGAGAAAGGGTGAAGCCTGAAGAGTAACGAGGTGAGAGGCGATTGCCCGTCACAATGAAGGAAACCCCCTAAATCCAGCGTGGAAAATTCTGCCATCAACAGATGGCGAATCTGAGGCCCTGACAAAATCACAGAGGATGCGGAAGCAAAGAGGAGCTTAACAGACTGTGTTAATGAGTGAGTTAAAATAGTCTAAAATATCTCTATGAAATAAATAGGAAAGTCAAAAAAAGGATTTATGTGTCTAAGAGGGTGGGTGTTGAAAGAAAGCTCAACTGGTGAGGGAATCCTCAATGCAAGCGGCGACCCGGCGGGAAGAGCTGTGAGTTGACAGATTTAACAACCAAGAGGATTAACAGGAGGGGGACATAAAAGAAAGAAAGACCTTGTGGTAAAAGTTTGAGTGCAAATACAAGGAAGACAGTGGAGGATTAAAGAAGGAAAAGCTGAGAGGCCGAGGCGAAGGTGGTGTTGGTGGAGCCCGTGAGACGAGAGAAGTGAAGGGAGAATACTTGGGAAGGAAAATGGCGATTTAGGAGGAACGGAGGAGTGAATACGTTCTGGAACATTAGAGATCCCTGGAGAAAGTGGTTGGAGAAGAAAGTTGGAGGCAGACCTGATTGTGGTGAGGTCTTGGAAAGCCAAGGAGACGAAGAGAAAGTGCGAAGGCAGTAAAATTCCGGAAGGTGAAAGAGACAGCGAGAGGACACAACAGGAGACGAAGGCGAAAAGAACAGATTGACAAGGAGAGAGACGAGGTTGGAAGGAAAACCAGGAGCCTAATAGGGATGGTGTTTCTAGTTGGGAGAGGCGAGAGAGGAGACGAAAGTGAAAGGAACGGATTGACGGCTGGAGAGACGAAAATCTGGAGCTTGACAAGGACAGCGTCTTCAGCTAAGAGAGGAGAGAGAAAGTGAATTGGATTGAAAGGGGGAGCGTGGGAGTGAGTGGAAGGGGAGGAGACAACAAGAGAACGATGTTGGAAGTGACAGGAAAGTGGACGAGGCTTGGAAGGCAAAGGAAGAGATAAGAATGGACTAATGATTGATAATATATGATTGGAGAAGTAATTTGAATTGTTAGAAAACTGTGTGATAAGTAAGAAAGAGGAAAGAAAGTGAAGAGGGTTAGAG